GGTATCTGGGTCTAGAAAGTACCAAGATTGAAAGGACAAGTTTTTGTCATGCACAGTTAATTTCCTTTGCCATTCTTTTGGGGTGAGAGTGGGGTGGTTTAAGAAAAATCATTTAGCGATTTCCGAAGACACATTTCTAAAATCATCAAATGTGACAACCAAAACTTGATGCTGTAGACCTGTGGTTTTCACTGATGTCCTCAGCACAGGAAGACCAACAACAGCCATTTCCCATGCAACATCCTTGCCCCATAAAAAATTCATTGGCATTGATGTTCCTAAAGGCAAACTGGATCCAGAATTTACATAACACTAGCCGTGAAGTTGGTATGGAGAAACAAAGGGGAATTAAGGTATGTTCATGTTCTTGCTTTACCAGAAAGAAAGCTACCAATTAACTTAAACTAAATGGAAAATAAGTGATTTTATGAATATTAAAAAAAAAGATAGTCCATAAATGTAACATGGTGTATCCTAGATGGGATCCCGAGGCAGATAAAAGACATTAGGTAAAAACTAAGGAAACGTGAACAAATATGGACTTTAATTATCATGCATCATCACTGGTTCATTAATCTTGATAAATGTACCACATTAATGTAGGATGGTAATACAGGCAGGAAGTGGGTAAAGGGTGTGTGGGAGCGCAACTAGTTTTTCAATTTTTGTATAAATCTAGAACTATTCTGAAATAAAAAGTTTAGTAATTTTGAAAAACAGAGGTAGTCCCTAAAGAATACAATTAAGATATGTACCTTATAATCCATCAAGTAGAGAGGGAAAGGGTAAACTTTGAGAATTTTAGTCCAAGAGAATGCAGGGAATTAGAATACCAATACGGGGTACCGATGGGCAGCACAGCACTCAGCAAGTACAGAAGTGGCAAAAATAAGGATTGATGGAGAGAGACAAGTATCATGTGGTTTCTCTCATACATTGAATATAAAAAATAGTGAAAGGGATCAGAAGGGAAGGGGAGAAACTGAGTCAGGAAAAATTAGAGAGGAAGACAAACCATCAGAGACTTCTAACTCTGGGGAACAAACAAAGGGCTGCAGAAGGGGAGGTGGGCAGGGGGATGGGGTGACTGGGTGACCAGCACTGAGGGGGGCACTTGATGGGCACTGAGTGTTACACTAGATGTTGGCAGATTGAATTTAAATAAAAATTTTTAAAATGATCAAAAATAAAATAAAATAAAAAATAAGGACTGAATGCAAAGGATGCAGTATTTCTTATTTCCCTGATTAAATACTAGGCTGCTACACTCCAACTCCCCTCACACTCCTAACGTTTTTCACTCCTATCCCAGGCAGCTTATTAGTGGTCTGTGATTAGGTCAGCCAATTAAGAAATATGAACTGGGTCTCAGGTAAAAGACCTGCAGAAAATGGCAGGGGACCACGTTTCCTAAAAAGCAAGGACGTTCCTCAGCTGGGCCTCTCCAGATCTAGCACAGGACCTGCAGACCCAAGGTGCTCCAAAAACATTTGGAGAGATTAGCTAGGCCAGGCCCTGGCTGGCAGTGCGCCTCCCTGGGGGGCTCTTGTGAAGGCCAGCGCCCAGAGGGACACCAACAGATTCTAGTTTAACTGATCTTGAGTGGGGGCCAAAACATCAGGATTTTTTAAAAAGCTCCCAGGAGGCTGTAACGTGCAGCAGGGTTGAGCATACAGGATAAGCCTATAAGATGAACTAGAGCACAGCAAGCCCGGGTATTAAGAAATCAGTTAACTTTTAGTACAATAGTACGGACGGGGGAATTTCAAATCATTACTATTTCCGCTTCCTCCAGCAGCTGTGATTCACCGTGCTCACCTTCAGCGGCTGAGATGTACTGTCTGCCTTTAAGTGTGAAGCGCGTAAGAAGGGGACACTGGTGTCGCAGAACCTCCAAGGTCTGTTGGATGGTCAGGTAAGAAAGAAATGCTCCTTATGAATTCAGATAACATTTTTTTTTGAAGATTTTATTTATTCATGAGAGACATATACAGAGAGAGAGGGAGAGAGAGAGAGAGAGAGAGAGAGAGAGAGAGGCAGAGACACAGGCAGAAGGAGAAGCAGGCTCCCTGCAGGGAGCCCTATGCGAGACTCGATCCCAGGACCCTGGGATCATGCCCTGAGCCGAAGGCAGACACTCCACTGCTGAGCCACCCGGGCGTCCCAAATTCAGATAATATTTTAGTCCTCAAAGAGGAAAGATATATTCTTGGGGGGAAAAAAAAGCTTCCTAAAATGCAGTGACCCTCTCTCAAGAGCTGTTAGTACAACTAGACAGTATTAGCAAGAACATAGAGGAACATAAGAGAACAACATCAACTAATAGAATCTGACATTTCTAGAACGGTCCATCCCAAAACACAACATCCATTCTTTTTCAATGCTCATGAAGCACAGACCGCGAGAGAACACGTCATGGACTATAAAACAAGCCTCTGCAAATGTATAAGACTTTCTATCAGCCAGAGCGTATTCTCCAACCACAATGAATCAAACCAGAAATCAGTAACAGAGAGATAACAGGCAAATCTCCAAATACTTGGAAACGAAGTAATACACTGTTAAGTGATCCACTGGTCAAAGGCAAGTCAAAACTATATTTAACTGAATGAAAATGAAAATACAATATATCAAAATATGTAGAACAGTTAAAGCAGTGCAGAGAGGACAACTTGTAGCACTAAATACAACAATTAGAAATGTCTCCAATCACCCCAATCTCCCACATCAAGAACCTAGAAAAAGAGCAACATAAACCCAAAGCAAGCAGAAGGGAGGGAATAATAAACTAAAAGTAGAAATCACTCAGAGGGGACGCCCGGGTGGCTCAGTGCTTGAGTGTCTGCTCAGGGCGTGATTCCGGGTCCTGGGATCGAGTCCTGCATCTGGCTCACTGAAGGGAGCCTGCTTCTCCTTCTGCCTCTCCATCTCTGCGTCTCTCATGAATAAATAAATAAAATCTTTAAAAAAAAAAAAAAGGAAGAAATCACTCAGAGATTCATGGGGGAGCATGAAGTGACCAGGAATCCAGGGATTGGAGCAACTGCAAACCAAGGAACGCCAACAAATGCCAGAAAACCATAATACACTATCGCCCAGGGAAGGATTCCTTCCACCCCACGGGCTCTGGAGGGAGTGTGGTTCTGCTGACTCCCTGATTTCAGACTTCTAGCCTCAGAACTGCAAGAGAATAAATTTCTAGGGTTTTGAGCCACCCAGTTGGTGGCACTTTGCTATAATAGGTCTAGAAAATAAAATGATCTTCTAATTAGGTAGACGGAGGGGGAAAAATAAGAGAAAATTTGAGTAATCCAACAAAAGGCAGGAACTACTTTTTAAGTAGCAAAGGGGGAAAAACGGTTTTACATGACAAACACAAAACAGCAAAAAAAATACTCAAATACATCAGGAATTCAAAAATTACGGACATGTGAAACATTAGAATACAAGGTGCTGAATGGCTTTACAAATCTGATTCAATTATAGTCTTCCAATGACACCTCTAGAATAACAGAACAAAGTCACAGAAAATATATAAAAATGAAGAACGTGAAAAAGATATACCAAAACCACCTGAAAGGAGAAAAAGCTGGTGTAGCAATATTTTTTTTTTAAAGATTTGTTTTTTGAGAAAGAATGTGCAGACAGAGGGGCAGAGGGAGAGAAGCCGAGATGGAGCCAGAGGTGGGGCCCGGCCCAGGACCCTGGGGATCGTGACCTGAGCCAAAATCGGGGGGGTCAGATGCTGTAGCAATATTAGTATCAGAGACGAAAAGGAACAAATGCATGCTTATAAGGCATCAAGAAGAAATAACTACAGTCTTCCTGAACAGCACAGCCTACAACAATATCCGGTGAAAGCTGACACGTGCAAGGACAAACGGAAAAATGCACAGAGCAGGAGACGTTCTCTTGTGAAAGTCGTAATCTGATGGCGTATGCAGAAAAAGACTACTAGGGTTACACATAATGGGAACTTAACTAGCAAGATTAATCTAAAAATGGGTTCAAAACCCTATTCCCAACAAATAGAATTCACTCTCCCTCCCCCACCCCGCCCCCGCCCCAAGCACTTGGGAGCGTGTATAAAATTATCCATGTACTGGGTCTCCAAGAAGTCTCAACAGGTTTCAAAGAATCATGGTCAAACGACATCTGGCAAAAACGCAGGATTGTTTACCTCTGATTGAGATTTCACTCTAAGACACGCGCAAATAAAACTATCGGAGAATAGCATTCTTCACTTATATTGCAAACACCAAAGAAGGGGTAATACGAGGTGTCGCTTAGGATGCGAGAAAACACATATTCTCAGCCGGGGGTGGGGGGGGCCGTAAATGGATTCGATTTGGCAGTTTGTGTCCAAGTGGAAGAGCTCCGTCCCCCTCTGCCCACCAACTCACTCTTAGGAATCCTTCCCATAGATAAACGTACAAACGTGCAAAGAGAAGACCCTGCAAGGATTTTCATCACAGTAGTGACCGTGACGCAAAAGATACAAAAACCGTAATGTCCATCAACGTAGGAAGGATTCAACTGTGGTCTTGTCCGGTAATGAGCGTTGACAAGAGTGAGACAAGGCTACGCTTAGGTCGCGGAAGAGCTCCAGAATCTGCAAGCATGCGACAGCGTATCTGGTCACGTGGTGGTGGTGCTGGTGGTTGTCTAAGAGAGGGGAAAGGAATTTGCTAGAAATGCCTTTGGAGGCATGGAGGAGGGTCAGCAGTGTATCCTCCAGACTGAGAAGGCCCTTTAAAACTGAAAAATCGGGGCGCCCGGGGGGCTCAGTGGTTGAGATCGGCCCAGGTTGGGATCCCAGGGTCTCGGGATCGAGTCCCGCATCGGGATCCCTGCAGGGAGCCTGCTTCTCCCTCAGCCTGTGTCTCTGCTTCTCTCTCCCTCTGTGTCTCTCATGAATAAATAAATAAAATCTTTAAAAAAAAAAAAAAAAAGAAAAGAAAAAGAAAGAAAGAAGAAAAATGAGGCAGGCGTGTGCGTACCGTTTACGTGGAGTTGTATTCCGGGTTCCTCACGGACGGGGCAGGAGGGCAGGCAGGCAGGCGATGGAAGCAGTACTGTGCAGCTCTTCTCACCGCAGCCCCCAAGGCTCATGGAGCGAGGGCAGGGTGCTGAGGACTCCCAGGGTAGCTCTCTGCAGTGGCACCATGGGCACCTCGGGGGAGAACAAGGTGAGCGTCAACGACGGAGTCCGTGGTGCCAGCCAGCACTCCTACCATCTCCACGTTCTAGAAACACCCCGTAGCACAATGCACAGCAGACCACGTAGCTGCTTCCTTCAGGCTTCTTCCCACTAGAGCATAGCAACCTCATATTTACCCTGTTCGCATTGTGCCATTTAACTAAACAGAAAGCCTTTAGTCACATTATTCATTTAAAACACAGAATCTAAATAAAATGCAGTCTCTAGTAATAAGCCTAATGAACTGCAGAAATTCCAGATTCCTTTGTGAGTTCCCTTCAAATTCCTTTTCTGATGAACTGTCAGGGCTGACATGTCTGTGCAGTTAAACCAGCAAACACGTTCGGCAAGGTTTCTAAGAGGTTCATTATCTGACTGGTATACGTAACGGTGCTCAGTCAGACACTGGCAGCAAAACCAGTAGAGACAGATGGGAGGCTGCTTCCGTTCATGCAAACCAACTGGATGGATCCCAGTCACCTCTCTGATCCCCCTCTACCTACCTACTCCCAAAGGCCACATTGACAGCCTTCTGGCCCTGCCTCAGGACCCTTGCATGTGCTATCCTGCTCCCTGGAATGATCCCATCCCCTCCTACTCCCACCAGACGGCTTACTCCCTGGATGCACCCAGGTCTCTGCTCCAATGTCACCTATTCAGAAAGGCCTCCGCAGACCTGCTGAGCTACGACAGGGGGCCTTCCCAGACCCTCCCCATCTCCCGACCAGCTTTACTTCTTTTTTCCTTCACTTATGACTACCTGACACAATTTCACTACTCCTCTATTTGCTCCCCACGATACAAGATAAGCCCCATGAAAGCAGGGCTGACTAGTATCCAGTAATCCCTTGCAGCGCACACTAGGCACTAAATAAGCGTCGCAATTTAAATAAAATTTGCATATGGTAAGTCTACAGCATAGTTTCATATTTTGGCCGAACCCTATCTCACGTAAATTTATTTTTTCCAACTGCAGCTTTTCCTCCTTTTCCACCTAGGCAACAACGATCAGAAACAGGGCAGACAGAGAAGACTCCTCTCTGGAGAAAGAGCAGCCTCCAGAACGGAGGGCGAACTTGTGCCACGACGCTGGGTTCCGCTGCAGCTCCCCCGGTAACACGTTAGAAGCTCAGAATCGGCATTTGTTTCCTCGGCCGTCTAACCGTACAAGTTAGCGGAAACCTTCTCACGCGGTATGGGGAATAAAAGCCCCAGTGCTAGGGGGCTTTTATTCAGACTACTGTCTGAAGGGAGGAGTTTAAAGAAGTTATTTGAGGGAAACCCCGGTGGCTCAGCCGTTGGGCGTCCACCTTGGGCTCAGGATGTGACCCCGGGGTCCTGGGATCGAGTCCTGCATCAGGCATCCTGCATGGAGCCTGCTTCTCCCTCTGCCTGCGTCTCTGCCTCTCTCTCTCTCTCTGTCTCTCACGAATAAATACATACAATCTAAAAAAAAATCAAAAAAATAAAAGGGCTATCTTGAAGATCATTACTTAGTCTTTAGAAGAACCGAGGTGATTGGCAATGGAAGGACTCACATGTGAAATTCCTTAAATAAAAATGTATTCACTTAAAAAAAAATACATACATTCAAATGAAAAGCCCGACAGCCCCTAACGTCAGGCAGACTGAGGTGAGACAGATCATCTTACCTGCTGTAAGAAAGAGGCAGCATCACTGATACGGCGTCTGAACTGCACCCAAAAAGGTCGTATCAGGATCTAAAATATGTATTCCTCTGACCCAGCGATTCCACTCCCAGGAATCTATTATAGTGAAAAGTATTTGCTTATAAAGTGCAAAGATGTATAGATAAAGAACGTAATGCAGCATGTACTGGCGTAGTGTGTGCAAGAAAAAAAAATGAGAAAAATCTAAATGTCTATTAATACAAAGTTGAGAGGCCCCTGGGTGTTTCAGCGGTTGGGCGCCTGCCTTCGGCCCAGGGCATGACCCTGGGGTCCCGGGATCGAGTCCTGCATTGGGCTCCCTGCAGGGACCCTGCTTCTCCCTCTGCCTGGGTCTCTGCTTCTTTCTCTGGGTCTCTCACGAATAAATAAAATCTTTTTAACAATAAAGAAGTTATTTGAAACGAAGCGTATGGGAGGGACCTCGGCCCTCAGGGTGCAGCAGCGCGCCCAGTGCAGCCGGGCCTGGGGAACCCCGGACCTGGCGACCTGCCCCCGGGAGGGCCGCTCCATCCCCCCAGGGCCTGCTCTCCCTTGGCACCTTTACCTCCTCTGGCCTTCAGCCCTCAGGGAAGGCGCGGCTCTCTAGGTCAGCACCTGAGGGACAACAGAAAGAAGCCTCTCCGCCCTTCCTGCAGCTTTGGGGGCTCTGCTCCCCTTTGCTTCTCTTCGGAGCCCCCTGGAAGCACCAGGCGGCCAGCTCACCCCACACACCGCTCCCCGAGCTCTGACCCCAAGAGAAGATGCTGAGCCCCACGGCACGGAGCCAGGGGTCCAGGGCCCCCAGCACCCCCCCCAAAGCCTCGTAACCCACGGGAGGACAAACACCCCAGAGCCCCCACAGCCCATGGTTCTCTGGGGCAGGTCATGTCGTTGCACGAACGAGCACACGGTCCAGCACCAACCCCAGAATAGCTTCTGGGGCCCAGTTCCCATCACGAAAGTAGCTGCCTACTATTAAAAGACTAAGATAACAACTAGGGGCCCACCCCTAGGCCTCTCCGTGGAGTCCGCGAACTCTCGGCCTAAGCTACTCCCCCGTCAAACCAGCACGAGACCTCTGTTTCTCTGCTTTCCACTGGGAAAGAAGAGGAGCCCCGAGCTGCCGCCCGGCTCCCCCGGCTCTGCGCACACTTGGGGTTCCCGCGGGTGCCCCTTCCCCGGCACCGCGAGCCCTGTGAGCCCGGCCATCAACGGCTTCCCCCACAACGTCCCCTGGATCTTGAGAAGGTGCACGCGTGAGTCGACGACAAGGACAGTTGCGCTGCGGCAAGTTGGGGGGCAAGTTGGGCTCCCCGCCTAGTCCAGCCGCCCCATTATGCTGCTTCACCTGTTACACTTTCAACTGAGCAGAAAATGAGAAAACGATTGCTGTTCAGGCTCGGGTGAGCCGGGCCTGCACGCTCACAGCGCACACCTAAGATCATCAGACGCTCGGTGACGTCATTACAAGAGGGGGCAGGCACCGTGTCCCCCACCGAGGTGCCGGCTTGCGACCGATGGTCCCCGTGGGATAGGCGGCGCAGCCAGGCTGGGTGCTGATCAAGCCACCAGGGCCTTCCCTCTGGGACCACGCAGCCTTTGTCTGCACCTGGCAGGAACGTGGGCCGCCTTCATCCCAGGGCTGCTCAGCTCCCAGGTAAGGGCTCAGGCTCCGTGGGACGAGCTGGGCTCTCCCGCCCAGGGCAGGATCCGAGGCCGGGCCCGGGGAGTCCGGGCCACGTGGACGGGGGCTCCGTCGGGACCTGCTGAAGAAGAAGAGTGAGCGGCCGGGAGCGACGTGTGGCCCTGCCCTTGCTGGCCACCCAAGCAGAGCGAGCCGCCCGCTTAGTGTTCACGTGCAGCTTGGAGGCAAGTTCTGGCATTGGGCCTCGAGGAGCCTCCCCCATGAGCTTTGTGAGCCCCGGAGTTGCGGCTGCGAACCGGGCGAGGCCAATGGGAGGCCATTTGCATGGAGCAAAGACCCCGGACAGCACCGCCTCCCGGCCCACAGACCCCCTCCTTATGGGCCAGGATGGAAGGATCGAGGCCGGCTGGCCAACAGCCCAGGCACGTCCCACGGCCCCCCGGTCCCCGGGCCCAACCCTCACTCCCAGGGCTCAGTCCCCCAAGCTCTGCAGCACGTCCACGGGGTCTGGTCCAGGGGGCGGGCCCCACCTGCTAAGCCTGCACGGGGACCGCAGGCCCACAGAGGGACAGCGGGCAGTAGGCCACAGGCGCGGGCCAGCCGACAGTGCGCGCGGTGGCCCCGGAGCCACTAGCTCCACGGAGTGTGGTCATCACAGCCCGGCAGGGGGGCACGGCACCCACCGTCCTAGCTCCCAGCGGGACGACCAGAGCCTCAGATGCAGCACGACGCCTTCCGGACCCTGGAACATAATGCTACCATGAAAGAACAGAAAGCGAACTGAACGCAAACCGCCCTTCTGAGCACCCTCCCACAGGGGATCGGGGCCATGTTTTCAGACGTGAAAGCTCCACAGTAAAAGTCATTTGAATCATGGGTCTGTGCCTTTGGAGAAAATGATCAGAGAGGCTTCGTGTAAGGTCGGGTGGGGTTCTGAAGCACGTCCACGCTCAAGTGCAGATCCAAGAAGCCCAACCGAAAGGGCTGTGGACGGACTGACAAGGACAACTGTGGTTTGAGCAAAAGTTCTTCTAAAAGGGCTCTCTTGGGGCGCCCGGGTGGCTCAGCGGTGGAGCATCTGCCTTCAGCCCAGGGCGTGACCCCGGGGTCCCGGGATCAAGTCCCGCACCAGGCTCCCTGCATGGAGCCTGCTTCTCCCTCTGCCTGCGTCTCTGCCTCTCTCTCTCTCTCTCTCTGTCTCTCACGAATAAATACATACAATCTAAAAAAAAAATCAAAAAAATAAAAGGGCTATCTTGAAGATCATTACTTAGTCTTTAGAAGAACTGAGGTGATTGGCAATGGAAGGACTCACATGTGAAATTCCTTAAATAAAAATGTATTCACTTAAAAAAAAAATACATACATTCAAATGAAAAGCCCGACAGCCCCTAACGTCAGGCAGACTGAGGTGAGACAGATCATCTTACCTGCTGTAAGAAAGAGGCAGCGTCACTGATACGGCATCTGAACTGCACCCAAAAAGGTCGTATCAGGATCTAAAATATGTATTCCTCTGACCCAGCGATTCCACTCCCAGGAATCTATTATAGTGAAAATATTTGCTTATAAAGTGCAAAGATGTATAGATAAAGAACGTAATGCAGCATGTACTGGCGTAGTGTGTGCAAGAGAAAAAATGGGAAAAATCTAAATGTCTATTAATACAAAGTTGAGGGGCCCCTGGGTGGGTCAGTGGTTGGGCGTCTGCCTAACCACAGGGTCCCGGGATCGAGTCCCGCATCGGGCTCCCTGCAGGGACCCTGCGTCTCCCTCTGCCTGGGTCTCTGCTTCTCTCTCTGGGTCTCTCATGAATAAATAAAATCTTAAAAAAAAAAAAGCCAAGGTGACTAAATAAAGCATGGCACCAAGAACTCTAATGATTCTCACACTCCTTCATGCACAAGCATTTGTCGGGCGACTGTGATGGGAGATGTTACACAGAGTACAACAACATCCCAGGTCCTGTTGAGTTTAGGTTCTACACATAATGTTTTTAAACATTAGCTTAA